TTACTAAACTTACATTTATATCTTTGTGTATGTATTATGTATTCAATATTATCCAATCCCAATACTTTTTCTTAATTAATTAGTTAATTATAGTAATTTAATAATCTTGTTTTTTGAAATAAATTATTTAAAGTCACTAAAAATATAACTACGAAATATTTGAAAGAAATAAGTATTGATATAATTTAATTTAAAATACATCTCTAAAACTTGAAAAAAAAAAAGAAAAAGATTATTTTTTATAACGATAATTTTTATAGGGAAAATAAAATAAAATCATATGGAATTTAATTTATTAGAACACAAAATTAAGAAAAATTAATTTTAGTTTTATGGTATAAAATTGTAAATTTTAAAATTAAACATCAACTGAAATCATAATCATGGCAAATTCGAAAAAAAAAAATAAGTAGTAATTCAAATTATATAACTAAAACTGTTAGAAAGTGTGAAATAAATTTATATTTGTACTTACTGTCAATGGGCTCATTTTTGGTGCAGCTTTGGCGACGGTCTTGATGACCTTGGCAGATTCGACTTGTCCGACGACAACGATGTTCATGGATACCTTTTCAGCGCCCATTTTTGGTTTTTTGTTGGTTTTTTAGAAAGCAAAGTGTAGACTAAAAGTGAAGAAATAAAATATAACATTATTTAATATGAAAAAGTCCTACCGAAAATTTATAGTTGATTGTTTCATACTCACCAAAGTAATGATTTACAAAAAAATGTGTTATGCCGGAATTAGGATCTCGGGTGCCTTTATATAAGAACGAGGTTGCCGCAAAACTTGAGGCGATATGGCGTGATTATAGTACGTCAGCGTTTGCTTATTCATACATTTGTTAATATGATACGTTAATTAGTTTGTTTATGTTTACGAAATTTGTATGAATTTATCTCATATTTTAATCATGTACAGAGTTAAATTAATCTTTTTTGATGATGAATATTACATTAAAAATAGTGCAATTTTCAAGATCATGTTAACTATAGGTACATATATATAAAACTTACTTATATTGTACCTTTTGATTTTAATGTATTCGTTTTCCATTAATTAGTATAAGTTCAAACCCACTCCTCTGCATAATTACTTGTAACCTAACATTAATAACAAAATTAAAATTTATCATCGAAATTTTTGGGTAAAAACCACTATCACCTCTATGCAGGGGCGGATCCAGAGTCAGGGAACTGTGGGTCAAGCCATTTCAAGAGGCCATTTATTAGGGATGAAACTGAATTAGAAATGTATACCTTGTAAAAAAAAAAAAAAAACATAATATGCTCATAAAAGTGTTTAAGTATATTTATATTACATTTTAGAATTAGTGATATCACCCATAATGACATATTTACGATAAATAAATATAATCTAATTTTATTAGCGCAACAAACGTACGGAATAAAATATGATTTACTAACTTTCTACCAAAACGATATAAATTATGAATTAAAAAAATTTAAATTTTGAATATACATGGTATTCATTTTTCAAGTAACTCCGATGGGCCAACTGTCCAAGAGTCCAAATCAAGGTCTAAAAAGAGAAAAAAATTTCCATGAGACCAATTTTGTCAACAAATATTAACAGTGGGTCAGCTGACCCCCTGAACTTCCCTCTAGATCCGCCCCTGCCTCTACGCTATTGACACCGATAATTAGAAATTGAGACCGTTTTAAACATTTTTCGTTCGAATACATTTTGAGGACTTTAGCGCCACATCATCCCTATATTATATTTTAGTTTTTATAATCAAAGATTTAATATATGCATTTTAAACAATAACTCATAATTTTTTTAGATAAATAATATGTGTGATTTGTTAAAACATTAAATACATTAAATAATATTATATATTATTTATTTAAATATTATTTAAAGGAGAAAAAATAATTAATTCTATAAGATTTCTCATTTAATTTACTGTGTAACGTTTTTATTTTATTAATAGGGCGCGGATTTTTATCTAATAAAAAAATCAAAATATGTAAATATTTATGTTCTTATTTTTGCTAAAATATGTATTAAAAAACGTAAAATATTTAACAAAAAAATCGGTATTTTCCATTAATTTTTAATTATTAGTTAATAATTATTCATTTAATCATCTTCAATGTTGTCTTCTTCGGAACGATTGGATAAGACATACATTTAAAGATTTTAATGTATGGCGGTTGATTTCAAAGTCAACTCGTAGCGGCTGAGGCTGTTTTCAACGTCAACCGAGGTTAATGGGGCATATTTCATACCACATACATCGAATGGTGTTACTTCAATATAATTTGACATATTTTCATTTATATTAATAAGATTATATCAAATAGTTTTCATTTTTTTATAAACCAACGTATTACCCAGTACGTAGTTTAATTAATTTTTTTTATAACTCCAAATTCTACTTGAACTTAATTTCATTAAATTTCTGCATTTTCCACTATCGCGAGACTTTCAACTATTATTAGATTCAATGTTTCTTATATTTTATTATTTTAACCATGAAAAAATTTTTTTTGGAAATATTTGCTAAATTATTTTGCAAGTTATTAATTTACATATCAGAAGTAATAGCAGTTTTAGTATCTGATTTAAGATTTGAAATATCTTTTTTCATTTAATTACAATATAATAATTGTAAATTAAATAAAAACTGTATTGAAATGGTATGAAAATTTGAAATATTTACAAAATATGTAAATATTAATTAAATATTTAAAAATATGTATTTACATCAAAATATGTGAAAATATGTAAAATAAAAAAGGTCTCATATTATTCAGGGTGTTATGAAACGTGCTTATTTTTAATTAGAATTGAAAAATTCACATTCAATAAATATATGTAGGTAATTACATAAAAATCCGCGCCCTATTTATTAATAATATTATGTATTGTTTGAGTACCTCGAATTGGTTTGTTAAAAACTAATTCAAAATTGTCAAATATCAGTTTTTTAATAATACAATAATCTAAAATTCTACCAATAAAAGACACATTCTGAAATCATAGAGGTTTTTACTCATTCGATTTTAAACCAATATTTTCAAAATATCTAAATTAAAATCGTAAACGAATTTTTTATTAATATTAATTAGCAAAAATACACAGACATCTTCCGATGCTTGATAGGCCAATCGGAAAAACAAGAAATGTTATCGGATAATCACGCCACATCAGTCTACTATAAATTGCCGAAGCGAGTGATGTATATAAAGGCATCAGAGATCTCGATTTCGGTATAATACGATTTATTGTGAATATTTACTTTGGTGAGTATGAAACTATGTGTTTTTATTTTTCAGCAGCACATTTTAAAATATAATAATATTGTTTTTATACTATTTCTATTTTAGTTTTCACTTCTATTCCTAAAAAACCAACTAAAACCCAAAATGGGCGCTGAAAAGGTATCCATGAACATCGTTGTCGTCGGACAAGTCGAATCTGCCAAGGTCATCAAGACTGTCGCCAAAGCCGTACCAAAAATGAGCTCATTGATGGTGTGTATTTAAATCTACCTCTAAATATTAATTATTAATTTAAAAATAACAACATTTTGATTTTTAAAAACATAAAAATTATAAATTACAATATAGGTAATTAGTCGGTTGATTATATTCATATTAATTAATATTATTATTAATACAAGACTTGAAAACATCATTGGATTATTGGTATGCCACAAATAATTTCATTATCTGCAATTAATACAGTAATTTTTTTTTAAAAAATAAGTGTAATTATCAAAATAAATTTTAAATTATCTACATAAATAAAAAAAAAAATGTATATTACATTAAATATTTAATTTTATTATAAATTTTATATATGAGTTTTAAAAAATTTATTTTCACAAAAATATAATTTTGTATTCAACAATTAAGAAAAAATATAAATTAATGTATTATTATAAATATCATGAATTCATGAAATTATATAGGTATAAATTCTAATAAAAAAATGTCTATTTAAAATAATCAAGTTATAATTTGTAATTTGTAGTGCTAAATTTAAAGTAATATGAGTAATTTAAGTACTTATTTAAAATATTTTTTATTTAATTTTGTATTATTTAACATTTACTACAAAAGAAATTAATTAATATTAAAAATTATTAGTGTTACATAATTATAATTTTTAAAAAATTATATTTTCAATGATTCAATTCTTTATATAAATTGTAGTACAGCCTCAAAATGTTATTGTTATTAATTATTCATGTTTAATTTTAACCTTTTTTTTTTCAGAACTTTTAACTCATGTAATCCATCAATCGCCAACTCAAAAATGCCATAGTTCAAACAATGTATTTATATGTATATAATATTTATTATATCATTGCCAAATATATCAGTTCTTATCGTTATTTACATCGTTTTTTTTAATTAATGGGAATTCTCTGATCACTCCAATCTACATATCCTTTATTTACCGCTGTCATTTGTATTAAAAATGTGTAGGTTTCATTTAAAGATTGTCCAATCTCGTCGAAAGTGTATAAACAAATAATGCGTTGCTTTATGGTGACATGCAATTATTCAGGAATTAAAGCAGCGAAATTCGATACATTTCGACAATAAACGACAATAATTACTTTTAAGTGTCTTTAATAAAATTTATATTTTTAAGTCTTGTAATTATAAAATCATATTGAAACATGATAAACATTAGGAAATTTTATTATCATCAAATTATATGACATTGATATTGATGTAATTGGATTATTTGATTATATACAATTATTTTGTCAATTAATTGAATTAAATAGTTCTATAAATGATTTTTAACTGTTAATGTTCGATAACAATGAATATTATACTTATCAAAATGTTTATTATCTCATGCTATAATTATAAAACAATCAGCAAGTTCGAGATGTTCGGTTAGTATTATAATTTTTTTATTACGTACTTTATCATGTATAGCACATATTAGTGTAAAACTAATATTATAATATTTTATCGTTAGATAATATATACTCATATTTATTTATTTATATAATGAATTAAAAAAAGTGGTTAATTGTGATGGACGAGTCCGACCTTATATATTATATTTATCGTTTTAATATTATAAACGTAGAATTATAATATATTATGGTGATAGGTATGTATTATATTTGTAGCTATAAATACTGTAAAATTGTATATCATAACAATTTGTTAAAAAATTCAGATAGTTAAATTCACTACAATATATTAATCAACAGTCAACATTTATATTTTAAAATATGTTGTGTTGTATAATTATTAAAATAATTTGGTGCACTAGTTGTTCCTAACCAGTGGCGGTCGCAGGGAGGGGTTTTGGGGATTCAAACGTTTAAAAAATTTTCCGTTTACCGTTATTGACAATTAAAACGTTATGAAATATTTAGCGTTTTGCGTTATTTAAATACGAGTAAGTGTAAAATTTGAAACGTTTTCAAATGTAGTAATACTATAAAATAAATCATAATTTTTGTTTCTTATTAAAATACCCATTACTTATATAAAAATTGTCTTGGTCAAAAAAATTCTTGGGGGGGATTGCCCTCATCGCCCCCCCACAAATACGTCACTGTATGGAAATTAGATTTCATATTTTTCCGACAAGATTTTTTTATATTATTTAATGGTAGGTAAGTTAAATTTAAAATTAATAAATTAGAATTTTTTTTTTTATTAAATGATTTATGTATAATATTATTGGCAAAAATAACCATGGTTCAAATATTTTAATTTTATTTCAGTGGCAATTCGTATTATTGGTGTAATTAATCAAAAATAACAGTGAACTATATACAGCTCAATTTGACCAGCAATTTATGCAAATTCATATTGCTTTCTACTGGTAACCTATCTGATGACTATAAATTAATAAATAAAATAAAATTGGAATAAAGGAATAAAATATACAAATTACATATGTATATCTATATTATATTATATTTTAATCTTTTAACAAACTAAACAATCAATTATGTAAGTATTTTTTTTTTTTTAATAAATAATAATCAGGGTTAAAATATTTTAATTTTATTTCAGTGGTAATTGGTAGAATTTATATAATTAATCAAAGAATACATTGAACTATATGACTAAATAGCTCAATTTGACCAGCAATTAATGCATATTCACATTGTATGCTACTAGTATCTTTTAAATAAACTAAACAATCTATTATGTAAGTATGAATTTTTGGTACTGGTTCAGTTGACGCCAGCCAACCCGCGTAATCTCCCGCCACTAATATTTCTCGTATTTTTTATTATACTGCAGATAAAAAAGATACGAAAAATCGCGGTATTATCTGTATATATGTACGTTAGAAATTCAATTATTGGATATTTTAAAAATAATTTTTTGCAAAATCCTTCAAATAAAATTAACAAGATAGCTGCAATAACAGTGGTACTGTGTTTAATAGTATAGAACATCTACTTTAGTTATGCAGTCGTCGTCATACTTAAATATTCTGTAGTACCTAAATCATATATGTAATACCGCAGTACTAAAACTTAATATGAATTTTCGACAAATTTATATTGACGTGCATGATAATTCATCGGCAATACTTTTTTTGCGAAATGCAAATATTATACTCGGACTTGTGACAATGAACACGAAATGGTTTTAGATATAAAAAAGTGCCGGAGGCGATGTCATTTAAGATCATGTCGAAAAGACAAAGGTGTTAAGACTAATAATTGGTTATAAAGTACAAAGGTAAAGTTACTAACTATTGTTCACTTTATTTATGGTTGGACTCATGAACTTACATCGGTGGACTTTTATAAACGTGAATTTGGACTGAGCAAAGCTATTGTAATAGATAGAAAGAATTATATTAGAGAAATATGTTTATGGAAACTTTCTCGCGGCAATTCAAAAATAGGAGGTGCTGGTTGTATTGTTGAAATAGACGAAAGTTTATTTGTCAGACGTAAAAATAATGCAGGTCGAATACTGCCGCAGCAAAGGGTTTTTGGTGGCATATGTCGTGAGAACAAGGAGTGCTTCGTCGTATGTGTAACTGATCGGTCGGAAAATACGTTATATTGCCAATAATTTATGAACGTATACGAGTTGGATCGACCATTTTATCAAATTCGAGCCTATAATAATATCTACAAAATCGGAGATTATAATCACTCAACAGTAAGCCACAAAATAATTTTGTGAATCCTACAAGTGGAGTTCATACCCAGAATATTGAGATGATGTGGGGAAGTGCTAAATGGGGAAATAAGAAGCGAATAGGGACTAAGAAAAACTTCCCCGATTCATATTTGGCAGAGTTTATGTGGCGCACTAAATTTAACGAACGTGATCCGTTTAAGGAAATACTAAAAGATGGATCTGAATTTTGGCCATCTGCATAAGTCTATTTATTTTTAATTTTAACGTTTATTTTATAACATTATTCATGAATAAAATATTTAATATAATTGTTCGTACTTTTTTATTTTTTGCGTTATAATTATTATTTTTAAATACCTAGTGGCGGGAGAATATGCGGGTTGGCGGGCGTCAACTAAACCAGTACCGATATGTCGATTAGGTATTGCGAAAGGTATTAATATAAGTAAAACCGCTTTTGAAATTACAGGATACTCTCAGTGGTGTTTTGGCAAAAAAAGTAGAGGGTATACGCGTATTTAAGGATTTATAACAATGACTATTGAAAGTGTGCTCCTAATAGCCATAATACAGTATACAACTACATACTATACAAACAGTACACTGAACGACGACGAAAACAAAACTGGGTATAAAGTGTAAAAATATCGGTTCTTATGAGAAAAAAAACGGTTTCAAACATGTACGATATGAAGTGTCGCTTATTACGTGGGTTACATTAGATAACATTAGCTCGATTAAAGTTCACGATTAAGATAATTGTCATTTGTAATCGTTTTCCCTATACACAAAAACAAGTGATATTATTGTAAATTATACTTATATTTTATGTTTCTGATGATTATTTCTAATCACAATAACCGAAAACCTGAACACTGTAAGCAACGAAAAATGCACTTATAACGGCTGTTTGTTCCGTTCCTGGCATTTTTGATCACTATAAGCGGCTTGTTCTTATAAACAGTGAACACTATAAGCGGCGACCACTGTAGTATTATATGTGTATATTTATTACTTTTTATAACACTAAAATGTATTATTTATAAAATATTAGTATATTATTAAAATAATATTATTATATTTATGATACGAATTAAAAAAATTAACACAAGGGGTTCTGTTAAATATTTATTGATAATCATAACAAAAAATCTTTTATTTGTTCTTCCATTTTTTGAAATTGCAATTTTTCTGAATTTTTCTTTAGTATTTCTTCAGGTAAATCATCCAAAGACTCCTGAAAGTATTAGGTAATATTAATATTTAGATCAGTTTTTCATTTAAAGAAAAAGTAAAAATTATCAAAGCTATCAAATTTTTAATCACTACATTTTTTAAGGAAAACATATCTGATTAAAAGTTATTACAGTTTAATACTTATATTTCTGACAAAAAATTCATTCAATATTTTTTTTAATATTATAATTTTGGATAGATACTCTTTATCAAATAAATTACAAATTATCTTACCAAATTTTGAATTATGTGTCTACACGCGTAACACAAGTTTTTTAATAATTCTTCTTTTGAATTTTGATTATTTTTACAATAACATCCATTACAACGCTTTAGGTCAGATTCTTTATTGTCAATGTTGTTTAAACTAAGTTCTAAAGCTTTAAGGCCCATTAGTGAAACATATTTTGAATATTTTGTTGCTTCCATTGCTGATGAAGGTGGCATTTCAATATCCATAATGCCCTGAAAAATTATTTTAGAAATATGATGTAACAAAAAAAAAAAAAAAAATGATACATATAATAAATGGCATACTTGACACATAGAGCAGTAAGCTGTACGAGAAGTTTTTTCTGATATTTTTTCTCCAGTTCTAAATATTGTTGACACAGTAGAAGGAAATTCAACTTGTAAATTATTTATGAATTGCTCTGTGGTTTTTTGTATCGATTCATCTTCATTTGTCTAAAAATAATTTAAATATATTCATTAACGGCTTATGACAATGTAAAAGTATATTCATTAAATACATACAGCTGTTAAAAAATTTGAATGAACATAATCTTCCAACTTATTGAACAAAGCATAATATGAGATTTCCTTAGCAGACAAATCTCTCAATGGTCGTATAGTTATCAAAGATTTTTTACTATTTGTTTTATCATTAACAGCAAGACCCTTTAATTAAATAATTTTGGACTTGATGATTTCTGAAGTTAACATTTACAATTTTATTCTAACTAGTATAATAAATGTATTAACAAATAAATAACCAATAATTTTTAGAATTAGAAATAGTTTAATTTATATTGTATTTTTAATTTACATGCAGTAGTAAAATTTGAACGTATTCTTAATTTATTTTGTGTCAAAATAAAAACTAACTTTTTTTTATACTAAAATATATATTTGAATCCTCAAATGTATATATTATTATCTTTTCATGCCCGTGTAATTTAAACACTAGACAAAAAATATTATATGTTTGATAATTAAAAAATATCATAACTATTAATAATTCATTATTAAAAATTATCACATACGAGTTAGATCTAACATAAATACAAAGTAAAATATTGTTCTTTACTATATCCAAACCGATTTGTGATCCACGTCCTAAAGCAACATTAGAAAGCAATCGAATGGATAGTTTATGTTCATTTTCTGCTGTTATTATTCGTGTACATTCTAATAGTTTTGCTAATTTAGTTATGGCATGTTTTCTGAAAAATAATAATAAAAAAACAATACACATAATATATTTATAAATACATTTATAATAATTACCGAAGTTTCATTAACATGTCTTCTTTTAATGTAAGATCAGATATATTTTTAAAAATATTTTTTAACTTATTATTATGTTGATCAATATTTGTGTCCTCAATTAAACAATTATTTGAATAAAGGACTGAAGCAAATAATACTATGTGATAAGATAAACCATATTTTTCAAATAACTCTTGAATTTTATTTTGTTGATTTTGAGGGTATTTAAATAAAATACTCTCTGAAATTAGTGTTCAAAATTAATAACATTCAATTTTAACAAAGGAAAAATGTACTTACCATCAATGTATACTATTACAGGATCAAATGTTAATCTTTTATAAGTAGATTGTTGAAGGCCTGTCCAGACTAAATGCAGTAAGGATACTGAACTTTGAGAACCACTAACACATACAAGAACACGTTCACCTTTGTTTACTAATTTTGACTTGCCAAGAGTAGCACGAAACTTATGAGTCACCATAGGTATAAAGCAAGTCCTAGGAGATCAAAATTTTTATTACACAAAGGATTTAACGATTTTAATTAATAGGTACTTACTTGCAATATACATCTTTTTTACGTAAAATGACATTTCCATCTTCAGTTAAACATTTACGGCATTTTAATTCTAATCTGAAAAAAAAATCAAATATAAATAGAACAGATTACAAATTAAGGCTTAAATATGTATACAAAGTCTATAAAAAAAATAAATTATATGCAATGTTTATCTATATTAGCATAACCACGATAATGTAATAATATAATAAACTTAAATTTAAATTACAATAATAATTTAACAAAAGGCATTGTCATGACTAGGGACCAGATTTATATGCACAAAAAATCCTCAAAATATGCTTCTAAAAATGCTGCTATATGCTATAAAATATGTACAAATATGTGAAATGTATTATTAATGTAAAAATAAGTATTAATTAATATGGTATTAAAAAAAGTATAAAAAAGTTTTTAAAATATTTTGTCGTCTTAGTCACCATTTAACATTTTTTGTCTTAAAGAATGTTTAATTATGTTATTTATATATATATATTATATATGTTATTTTAATAAGAAAGATCTAAATCGGGGACAATGCTCATCAGATTTCAAAAAGCTTATTCCAATACATATATGCATTTGCATATAAATCCGGTCCCAAGTCATGACCTAAGTGGTAAAAAGGTTTAATAGTATACATGATATTAGTTTTTAATAATAAGTTATTAATATAATTTAAAAATATTAATAATCATAATTTTTTACTTAACAATAAAAGCTTTTAATCAGTAAAAAATGTATTTTAAATAAATTATTAATAATATAAGAACAATACTACAATAAGAGTAGGTACCTAAATACTAAATACCGAATGAATACTAATTTACTTTATTATCAAGAATAAAAAGCAATCATTAATGTTCATATATAATTAAGTACTAATAATAATAATGCCATATTACGTAGTCCATATCAATTTATTTCCAAGCAAAATAATGTTTATTTATTTTTTTAAATTAAATATTTAGAAGGCTGCTTGGTTTTGATCATGGGTAATAGGCCTTATTGTTTTTGATATTAATATTAGATAAATCAAAAATTACAACTAGGACGTAAAAATTATATTTGGAATAAATACAAAGAATTAACATAGGTATTTCTCTACAAACGTTTTGTTAGGTAAAAGAACCATTCATAAAATTACATATGCCACAACAATTCATATAAATTATTACAAAATGTATTTTAAGTACCTATATTAGGAAAGAATATAAAAAGTACAAGATTTGATAAAGGCCTTACAGGAGCTACATGTAGGGCCGCATATAGGGGGGGGGGGCACTGGCTTTTATGGTGGCGCCAAAATTTTGTGGTCAGAAATTGTGAATTATTGAACTTATAAAATTATTTTGAAATTATTATTTTTTTTGTTTTTAATAACAGTATCATAAATTAATGTTAATGTATTTAATTTATTAATATATATTATTAATGTGTTTATAGCAATATAGTTATCCAGAATATTATTAATATACATAATACTAGTTTCCAAATTTGTTGTGATAATATCAATAAAAATAAGTTATTTAGAATAATACGGTGTATTATGTTTTTGCATGCGGCGTGTGGTGGCATGCCTACTACACAAAAATAGCATTGATTTTAGAATATCTAAAAGGTTCATGAGGATCTATCTCCTATATTTCCTGAGGTTAGGCCCCTTAAAGGGACGCCAATTTTTTTTTTTTTTTTTTTGCGCCAGGGCGCAATATGTCTAAATATGACACTGACTACATGTTAGGTACACAAATTGTAAATAAGAAATAAAAAAATTGAATGTAGTAGTAACAATGTGATATATTTTTCTAATAAAACATTAATTATGTCACAGCGTAACTCACGGTTCATCGGGTTTAAGTTCTTCGAAGCTTTCAGCACCTTCATCATTTACGCTGCACATTGGTGAGATGATGGTGACCTGCACTGATCAATATTTCTTGGAAAACGTGCCACAGTATTACAGATATAACGAAAATAATAAGAACAATTTCGAATGAGTAATATAAAATAATACTTACCGTTATTGTTCATACACTGTTTAAGGCACGAATTTATAAAAATATATTATTGTATTTTTATATATCTGTGATTTCAAGTACTTTTGCATATTCAACAGTTATCAGCTTATCACATGTGTTATTTCTATTTTTTGAGATAAACACGATAATGACAACTGTGGTCACGGTCTTAGAAGATATTTTCTAAGACCATGATTGTGGTCAAAGTTAGTAACTTATGCAAACTCGTCACCATCCGGACGTTAGCAACGGTGAAAACCATATGCAGCCATGTGACTCCTTAACACCGGTCGTGCCGCAAAATTATATTGTGTTCCTCACCGTGATTATAGGATTATAGAATTACAGTATTATACATATTATACTTATATATAGGTTATCTCTCGTGTTTTTATTTTCAAAAAGTTAATAGTTAATATCGACAAGTGCAATGGAAGACAAATCGTCCGCCGATATAGAATATGAAGGAGAAATGGACACTTCTGACGAAGAGGTAGGCTTTATTATACCTGCATTATGCTAGTTTCTGTATTAACTCATTTAATATGATTTTTTATATTTTTTAAGGATATAAGAAACACTGTGGGCAATATACCTATGAATTGGTATGATGAGTATCCACATATCGGTTATGATTGGGATGGCAAAAAGATTATTAAGCCTGAACGAGGCGATCAGTTGGATAATTTTATGGAAAAGATGGAGAACCCTGATTTTTGGTAGACATTATTATTATACTCTCAACTTATTCAAATATACACAGACATTTTGTTTATTTCAGGCGTACTGTTAGAGATTTACAAACTGGTCAAGATGTTGTATTAAGTGATAAAGATGTAGAATTGATTCAACGAATAGAATCTAGTAAAATACCCGATTCAGCATTTGAGGATTATGCGGTATATTTTTTCATTCTTATAACTATTTGTTTAATATTTATATGGTGATGTATATTTTTAGCCATGGGTTGAATGGTTTACATCAGAAGTTATGAATATGCCAATTCGTAATGGAGCTGATCATAAACGTTCATTCATAGCCAGTAGACAGGAAGCTCAACGTGTAGAACGATATGCTAGATTAATTCGAGCTGGTTTGCTTAAAACCAGAGAACAAAAGCGAAGAGAACGTGAAAAGAAAAGAGAACGTAGTTTCTATATGATGTGGAGCACAGATGATGCTGAAGATGAAAATATGAGACGAATAACTGATCATATACCTGCACCCAAGAGAAATTTACCTTCTCATGCAGAGTCTTATAATCCTCCTCCTGAGTTCTTATTCAATGATCGAGAAGTAAGTAAAACCAGGACTCTGTATTCTGTAAACTACATAACAATTAAATATGTATTCACTAAAAAAAAGTTTAATATACAGTATTTTATATAATTATTTTTTTAAAATAACAAAAATGCATTACTATTCAAAAAAAAAATATTTATTTTAAATTTAAAGACTTTAAATTGTATTACTTAAGATAAGATATTATTTATAAATAAGCGTATTTGTATATTTTTAATGACAACAGCAACACTTGATGAAAATTAATCTTTTATTGTAGAAAAAAGTGTTGAGTTGATCATAATTGGTTTACAATAAATACTCAGTATAGTATAATTTATAAATATGTTTAAAATCTTTGTTTACGTAAAAGTACATAATTTTACCAAAGTATGCCAAATTTACAACAAAGATTTTTGTTATTTTGATTGTATGTAATATGTTATAAATTTGTATCTTTTCAAATTTTGAATATGTAACTTCCTATGAAATGTTAATATGCATTTCTGAGTTCTGGTTATAAAATGTTATGTTTGTGTGGTATAAAATAATATCTAATGTTGTTCTAGATGAAAATATGGAAAAAACAAGAAGAAACTCCATGGAAGCGCAAGTTACATTTTGTACCTCAAAAGTATTCTAGCTTAAGACAAGTTCCCGCTTACCCCAAATTTATAAAGGAACGTTTTACAAGATGTATGGATTTATATCTGTGTCCTAGAGCGAGAAAAATGAGAGTATGTAAACATATTTATTGTATATGTATATTTTTAAGAGTAATTATTACATGAATGTATCAATTTCGCTTTAGTTAACTATTGAGCCAGAAGATCTATTACCTAAATTGCCAAGTCCTAAAGATCTACAACCATTCCCTACAGTTCAATCATTGGTATTTAATGGACACACTGATATGGTTCGTTGTATATCTATTGATCCACTTGGTCAATACTTGTTATCTGGATCTGATGACATGACTGTTAAAAGTAATCTATACAATTAAAAAAAAGATATTCATATATTTATAACACTTATAGTAAGCTATTGTTACAGTATTTATTTTATATTTCAGTATGGGAAATTAGAACTGGTCGATGTTTGAGAACTATACCAGTTGGAGGTATTGTGCGTAGTGTAGAATGGAATCCAAACAAAGCATTATCATTGATTGCAGTTGTAGCTGATAGAAAATTATTGATAATAAATCCTGCTGTTGGTGACCATTTAGTTGTTTCTAAGACAGACTCTATTCTATCTGTTCCACCAATTCAAACATCTATTGGTTTGTTATGCATTGAATTTTAATGTTAAAATTGTTAGATATTTTTATAGAATTTATGATATTTATGGACATTTTTATAGTTTCTGAAAAGGTTAAAGCAGTTGTTCAATGGGATGAAGCAACAAATGAAGAATGGGCAAACGGAATTCGTATTGTACTAAATCATTTCAAAGAAATAAAACAAGTAAATTATCAATTTTTACGTTTGTATAGTATAATTTTGTTCAATAAGCATACTAATACTTAAACTATGTATAAAATCTTTTGCTCATAAGTTGTTATAAAATTAAATTGGAGTGTTAAATTAATATTTATTTTTATTTAAAATAATACAATTTTCAATTTATTTTAGGTGACTTGGCATGGTCGTGGAGATTATGTAGCTACAGTAATGCCTGATGGTGCTAACCGATCGGTTCTAATTCATCAGATGTCTACAAGACGATCCCAATTACCGTTTGCTAAATCTAAAGGATTGGTGCAATCTGTTCTTTTTCATCCAATAAGGCCCTTTTTATTTGTTGCTGTAAATATCAATCGTATTTTAATAATTATTTCTGTAATTAAATCTAATAGTTTTGATATTTTATTTATCAGACACAAAAAAATATACGAATTTATGATTTGGTTAAACAAGAATTATTTAAAAAATTAATGAGTTATGCTAAATGGATTTCTTCAATGGCTATTCATCCAGGTATGTTTATTTTATAATTTTTAATAGTTTGTATGCATGTTAAATTATTTTCATTATTAGAAACATTTAGTCTATCTGACTAAGAATTATATATTTTGAATAGGATTAAAACAATACTTTATTCTATGGTTAATTTTAAGATTTTTAAGTGTGAAATTCCTTTTAAAATTTGTGATAACAATTAATATTATTATTTTATTACAATATAAAAATAACAATATATTTATATATTATATAAATAATATAATATATATAATAATATTATGTTATCAAGGGCATAAGGGTGTTGAGGTGATGAGGGAGGGAGGGGGCAAAACTAATTTTTCTTCTATACAAACTTAAAAATAATTTACAGTTCATTACTGAGGTGTACCCAAGGGGGGGGGGTCGAGTTCGGACCCCCATTGAATTTCTACATACTCAATGGTTTAATAGTAAATAGTATATAGCAGGGGTGGCGAACCTATGGCATGCATGCCAAAAATGGCACATTGACCAAATTTTAATGAAGCGCAAAAAATTGAAATTGTAGAAAAAAAATGTTCACTATTAATAAAATGTTCGTTGTAAGAAGTTCAAATAAACAAATTATATATGTTTTAAAAATGACAATATTCCTTAAGCTTTCATATTTTTCGTCAACCTATGTTCGTGAAAGATTATTCACCATAAAAAATGTAATTAAATTGACGAAAAGAAAAGTTTTGACCAACAAAACAATTGCTGCTTGTGTTTCACTAAGAATGACTAAAGTTTAATAAAAATAATGTAATAAATCTGTAATTTTGTTTATAGTCTTAGAAAATATAATTTTCTTTGGGCACGTAACTGATTTTCAAAACCTGAAAAGAAAAAATTTGGCATTTGAACCTAAAAAGGTTCGCCACCCCTGGTATATAGTGTATTTTAATTTCCCATTATGTTCAATATACAAAGTTTACAGATTATATAAGATACTTATAATGTATAAACAAATAATACAAACAAAAAAATGACTAAATACCTATGCACAACAAAAAGTACCAGATATTATGTTGTAAAAAAAAAAAAAAAAAATAGGCGAGTAAAATTAATAAGGACTTATATAACTCTAATAAATACCAAAATATACAATATGCATAAATGCATCAAAAAATAACTAACTAGTAAATATGTGGTAAAAAAAGTGTTACTTTAAATTACTTTTTATTATCTGATAAATACCTCGTTATGGTTGTAAATGTTTATAATCGTAGTGATATCTTTGGAAGATAATACCACTATTCGTTCTACAATCAAAAATGTTATGATATATGAAGATAAAAAAAATTGATACCCATAATCAAATTGACATATTATTGAATTTATTATCATATTATAATGATAGACTAGTAATTTATATTCTTAATTATTTATACAATATATTTTTTGAATAAATCAATGTATTGTATTCAAAAAAAATACGAGCCATGGAGGGGGGGGCGAATGCCCCCTTCGGCCTCCCCCTAAATTACGCCCTTGAATGTTATATTATATTTCCTACTTCAAATAAATAAAAAAATAAAATAATTTTTTAATCAATTCTTATACTCATACTATTCTAATAATAACAATAATTAAATAAATTATTCTTCAACAACAAAATATTTCTCTACAATGAAAAAAAATATAAATTAGGAAATAATAATTTGTATATAAATATATATTTCATTTAAGTTACTTAATTTTATTGTTGTCTAGGCGGTGACAATGTAATTGTTGGAACATATGATAGAAAGCTGTTATGGTTTGATCTTGATCTTTCTACTAAACCATATAAAACTCTTAGATTACATTCAACTGCTGTACGTTCAGTTGCCTTCCATAAACGTTATCCATTATTTGCATCTGGTTCTGATGACCGGGCATTAATTGTTTCACATGGAATGGTTTATAAGTAAGTTGTTGTGTGACTTATTATTTATTATATATTTGATTTTATCATCTTAAATATTTGTTTTTTTTGTTTTTAGTGATTTACTTCAAAATCCTTTGGTTGTTCCATTAAAATTACTTAAAGAACATGAGGAATTCTCAGATTTTGGTATTTTTGGTGTGACATTCCATCCTACGGAACCATGGGTGTTTAGTTGCGGGGCAGATAAAACTATTAGGCTGTTTACTTGAATTTTTATTAATTATTAAAATTAGACTAAGAACTATTATTTTCAAATATACCTGATAATATAATAATATACACATTACAAATTATGAATTATCAAACTTAATTAAATTCATTGGTTTGATATGGGTTCTCTCTGGCTTTTTTAGCTTGCACAGACACTTACCTACTATTACAGACCGTATATTAGCTATAGGAGTTACTTATTAGTTACAGATGTTTTTGACAAGATCGAAACAGCAGATTCCTCCGACCAAATTGGGTTGTCGGAAGGATTACCAGTCCCGGGTATCTTGTCATTGCGACGATGATCCCGAAACATTTGACCACGAGTGTCATGTCACTTGGTCAGGTCGAGAGTTATCCTCCTATCTATTTTTGGTTATAAACAACCTTCGGTGTTTTTTACTCCAACCAGTAAAGGTTAGGTTAGGTTAGGTTAGTCACTGCCTGCACCACACAACGTCCACGTAGGAGTTTCACCCGCGCAGCCATATACACAACAACAAGCAGCTGTTACCAAGAAATTTTGCCTAACCTAACCCAAGTTTAAAATTTAAAACTTTCCTTAACAATAATGATTTTTTCATTTAAAAAAAGTTATTTGGATGATTTAAGATTATATATACACATTCCATAGAAATATATTGAGTAACATGAACTAAAGAGGATTTGTAGTTATCATTGTATATACAATTTTCAAAAAAAACATTGGCTGAGTATGTCATCCAAAACAAATATTAAATTACTATGTTCAGTGGCGTACATACGAGGGCCAAAAAAAATAGAAAATTGTTTTATTATTGATGACGTGTATTATATTCGTAGTTTCATTATTACGTTTTAAACTTAAAATATACAACTACACAAATATTATGATAATTAAATAATTATATTGATATGTGTTTGAAGTTTTATTAACTAGTGTAATAATTGCTTTTAAGAGGACGCTACATACGTAAATATTGAGACCAAAAACAAGGTTCACGCGAATACGTTTTATTAGAGCTATAATCACCCTAGGGATTCAAAATTTTTACACAATATAGAAGACAACTATTTCTGTGACGTAGTATTTTTATTTTTTTTATTAAAATAATTAGGAAAGGAGTTATTAAAGCTCAAATATGCATGATATTATGTTTTTAAAAAGCTTATAAAACTACGATGAGTCAAAATATGAAAAAAATAAAAACACTACATCACAGATAAAATTCTCCCCAATACATGGTGAAAATTTCATAAATTTATTATAAATATAGCCTGTGTATTTTATGTTCCCGTAAAACAGTTTTTAACAATGTTTTATGGTACATATAAATATTCGTCATTGATTTGTGCGCTGTTCCCGTTGCTAGCGTTCGATCGGTGAACTTAAACCCCCATTCCACTGCTGAAATAACTGTAACCGGTACGACGACGACAATGCGTCGTCGTTATCGGTAGACAGTGATATATAAATAATAATTATTGTAGTTCAAAGAAATAACCAGAATTCAGAAATAAGATTATCGATTATCATCAGTTGATTTTATATTATTCACACTATTTTATGTCGTCCATTATAATTTGCTATTATTCTGATATTCACAAAATATGAAATCACACATAATTCATAAACTCCAGAAAATTAAAATAAATAATAATATACTATATACATCAATTCTAAATTCTTGTTGTTAAAATGTTTTTTTATAAATACTTATTACCTACAGGGCAGTAGTTAACTGATATTCCGCCGGAGCAAAATTAATAATATGTCAATGTTATCTAAAGATAGGACTTTTTGGTTTTCTATTGAAATAATAGTCTAACGCTTAAAGTTTTTTACAAGTTATAATCTGCTAAAACTACGTTTACAGGTTTCAACACTTATAAGAAAACATAAAAAAAAATCGTATTGCTATTACAATGTTTGAACACTCCTTTTGAAGCCCACGTTTAGTAATAAAATTGTACATTTCAAAATTTAATAAAGCGTTAGATAATTCCTTAGCACTTGAAATTATTTAATTTTGAAACTTTCTATTTCTGATTATAGTTCAAAGACATCCAAGTCTCAGTGGAGTGCTCATGGTGGGGGGATCAGGGTGTTATATATCTCCTTTGGATTTTTTTGTTATGGTATATTATCTACATGAAAAAAAATGTAGGGTCTGTGACAAGTCAAAAATGAATATCTCCCCCCTCCTTCAAAAAAGCTGAGCACGCCACTGCCAAGTCTTGTTAATATTTTAATTAAAGCTAAATCGGCAGCACATGAGCTTGCAAAGCTTGTAATAATATGTACCTACATATATTGTAAATGTGTTAAAAATATGTTGGATACACGGAAGTATGACATATACTTAGAAATTTTAAAAATTAAAAATATATTGTGTGTAATTAGTTTTATTTTATAATAAAAAGTAATTTTTATTATGATGAACAAAATTATAAAATAATTTACATGGAAGTTTTAGATATGAAATATATGATTCGCTAGTTGACCGTTACAGGCATACGGCTATACCCATATTATTTATTTTATTTTACGTTTTGTATGATGCATACAATGTTACTGAATAAGATAATATGTCAGTAATATTTAGTCTTTTATTTTGGAATAAAAGAGTTAGTTATCATTACAGCGATATGTATTATTTGTTTATGAATTTCATATTTCTACAATAAAAGGTTTATAAAAGGCAAATGAAAGTTTAATAAATTACTCAGTTCTTGGAAGTTGCTTGATATTTTAGATATTTATAAACTCTACAATATTATGTCTGTGCCTATATTAAATTTAGCCCATGTACAATAATTGTTTATTCTTATATTTAACACCAATTGTTCACTTCGTGTAAGTTAACTGAACTAGTAACATATATACTTGTTTGTTCAGTAACAGAGACATTTTTTTTAATCGTATACGCGCGTTATATCTGTCAGTCAATTTTCTTATTTATTTTTGTGGTGTTAAAAAATATAATGGCACCAAAGAAACAAAGAGCCCAGGTAAGTAAACTATCTCGGCGGTTACGTATGAAAAAAAACACAAAAAGGAGAAATACTGAATGTAGTGTAAGTATCTAATTATTTCACGTGTTTTTTAAAACATAATATATACTAAACTTATTAAATTTCTCAATTGCTAGTGAAAGTTTCAATTTTCTACGACTTATACTTTTTGAATATCAACAAATATTTTAAATCATTTTAGAATATACCGTTATTTTAATTCAAGTTTTTTAAGTTTTTTTCTATACTTAGAATAGCTATAAAATTTTACACTGTAGTTTTTTTTATATATGGTAATAAAATTATTAGGTAAATTTAATTTTTTTTAGAAAACAATCGACGTATACAGATACTGAAAAAACTGAAATTATTGAAAATAATTTTAGTACAGAAACGGAAGATTTGACTTCTAATGATATGCTAGTTTGTAGGTACGTAAATATTTTAAATATTAATAATTGTAGAAATTGTAAAGTAAAATATAATAACATTTATATACCTAGCTAAAACTATACTTATTTGAAACTAGGTATAAAAGATTCAATAAAAGCTTAAAACCCGTTCTTCATACGCTCATAACAATTTAGTTTGTCTTGTCTTTCCGGTAGACATTTTTTTTCTTTTTTTAATAAAGGCACACAAACTTATCAGGAATCTTGTATTAAATGTCCAAATCTTCTTTTATTTTAGATTTTATAACGAATGTTTGCTCCCAGAGATTGTCAATCCATTATACCCTAAACGTATGCTCAAGGCAGATATAAGAGAATCGGAGAGAATAAAAAATAGTATCAATATAAACAAAAGAAAAAATTAAATTTACTTTAAAGAAAGATATAAACGTGTTATTATCATATTCCACTCCAAAATTACTTATCCACCTATAACCAACTCATTATACAATTTTATTAGTACTTTAACAACTGCATCATGTTAAAAAATACACAAAAACTATTATATAAGAATTATATGTGGTAGGCACATATACAAAACTATAACGTAAAATATATGTAATACATTTATCTATTAGAAAACTAATATTTTGATATTTAGGTTATAGTTGTACATTATTATGAGATATTATATATTATTAAAATAATACAGTTAATTCATACTTTTTATGAAATACTGAGGGTAATACATATGTCGTATACCTAATAACGCAATAAATATAAATCTCGTAGTTACGCGCGAATATTGAAAATATTACAGCGGCACTTACGTATTATATATGCATTTTATATTGACGCGACCCGTTACATACGGATGTTCAGAAAATAATAAACACCGCTCCCGAACGAGTACAATCGTCGACCGGCCGCCGACTGCGAGTACTGAGCGTGGCTCAAACGTCGCGTGCTTGCGGATCGCGAAAACACTTAATAGCGCATTCTTTTGGCCGTTGCATACGTTTTGTTTTTGGTATAGCGTCCTCTTAAAAATGTGTTTAAATCTATCATATTTTGAACTTCGTAAGAAATCTGGTATGAGAGGGTTAGTTTTGTGTTCAGAGAGAGGTTGATAATTTGCAATTATAAGAAATATAGATATACATTTGTTTTAAATAGAAATACTTAATACTTATATACTATTACTCATTGTAGTTATATTTACAATATTTTAATATTATAACAGTACAATAAATTGATTTATCATTTCTAACACCTGAATGCTAAATAAAAATGATTGCAATTATATTGTATATTTTTAATTTTTAAAATAATACTGTATTTTATTGGAGATTAATTCTATAAATAACGCCTTAATTTTTTTTATTTCTATATACCGTCAATATAAAATAATTTTATACCATGTGTATAATTTATTTATTATATATAATCATCATAAATTAACAATATATATACATTAACTTATATACTATTTTATGATTATCAATCCCTTTTATTAGGGATTTATATTATACCATTTATAAAAAGATTTAATAAAGATTTATTAAATTGTGTACATTAAAAATATTAATATACAATAGATACAAACAAATAGATAAGTAATAAACACAAAACAAGTTGTTAACTATACACTATTTGATTTCTTGAATTTTTACTTAACATACA